TCCAACTATGTTAATTGTTACATATGAAGGAGAACACAATCATTCCCATTCAATTACGGAATCACCAGCTGCTCATGTCCTTGAATCTTCTTAATCTCCACGGCTCAGATCTTCTTTGGATTTGTGAAGACTAAATCAGAACCGTTGAAAGATCAATGCAAAAGATCAAATGGTCAACGCCTAGAGGAAAATGAAAAAGGAAGAGGCAACATTTGTTTATTTTTGTTTCTCTATGTAATTGTCGTTGAAAACTTTTGATTTTGCGTGGAAAATGAAAAGAAGAGATAGAGAGCAAATTGTGGATTTGGTGGGAATTGAATCAATGCAACATAGTGGGTACTTTTCCTTTTTCCAATTTTCTTACGTTATTTTCCTTTTTTTAATACTATACATATCTTGTTGGAAGATTTTTTTTCGTTATTTAATTTCTAATGGGTACCGATTTGACGTTCAATTGTTTACACGTTGAGTGGATCTAACGAGGAAGTCCACTTATTCCAGCTTCCACTAAAATCCAATAAAGAAAGAGTTTTGCTCCCCAATGCAATAGTTAGTCAATGGGAAATAGAATTAAAGAATTAATTAAGTTGAGATTAGTTTAAACAAGAACGTGTCGTAAGTGGGACATTTGACAAACTTTAAGCTATATTTTGAATATTGATTAATGGGTGGGTGTGACATCAGTTTGGACTTTTTAGGAGATAGTATTGTTTGCATTATTCAATGTATATGGTCCAGCTAATTGTCGAGATTAATTATTTTTGGCTAATCAATATTATTTTCCAAGAATAATAATTGAGGGAAAGATGTTGGTTCGAGATGAATCTTCGGAAATTAATACTACTTGTTATTGACCCAAAGACAGATAGCGATTTGAGTGGAGGGCGTGGGACGCAACTTGCACAACTTATTATGTATATGCAAAGTCAATAGGCATACAGTGGGTTTAATGATTGCTCAAAACTCATAGTCATGAAGATAAGACGTAAATAATAATAACATCGTCTCAGTCCCGATTAACATGTATCAAAAATTTGTATTTTATTTTTCTAAATATGTGATCTAAGTCATCACCTAAGTGTGGTAAAATCCTGAGAATAAAGATTCAAACTCTATAAAGACGGACATTAGTTTTTTCTTTTTTTCAAAAATATCAAACTCAATGTAATCCCATAAAGTAGGTTATAGAAGGATAGAATGTACACAAACTTTATCCCGACCTTTATGAAGGTAGAGAGATAGTTTCTAATAGATTCTGGCTCAAAATTTAAAAGAGACAAACACAACAAGTAGTAATAAGAGCCAGATAAGGTGATAGAATAATCAAAGCGAAAGAAATAATACATATCAAAAGAAATCTGCGGATAGGAAGCTAAGAAGATACGAGATTAAGATTAATATTGTTAAAATAGCACGGTATAGCCAGTTTTCGGACTGGTCATTCAAAAATAGCCAGCGTTTACCAAGTCAATGAAAAATAGCCACTATTTTGCTGCAGCAGAGACCGGTCCAGCATAATATACTGGAGTTCGGTGCACCTGTGTATGAACTCCAGCATATTATGCTGGACCGGTATACTTTGCTGGCTCCAGTATAATATACTGGAGACTGGAGCACCGGTGCTCCAAACTCCAGTATATTATGCTGGACCAATATACTTGCTGGAACTCCAGTATATTATGCTGGAGTTCTAGTGTACTTATGCTGGAACTCCATCATAGTATGCTGGAGTTCCAGCATACTTATCTTGGAACTCCAGTATAATATGCTGGAGTTCAAGTACACTTATGCTGGAACTCCAGCATAATATGCTGGCGTATTTTTCGGGTTTTGAACAGTGTTTTCGCTCAGATTTATCTTTACATGAAAAGTGGTTAAATATCGATTACTTTTGAAACTGGGTATTTTTGAGCGACCAGTTATAAATCTAGTTATTTTTGAATTTCACACCCATTAATATTGTGTAAAAATTGATGGACAAAGTCATTCAATATTTATGTTGGTGAGAAGTAACAAAAAATTCGCGAAATAATTGAAGCACGCATAAGGTGACCCGATAGAAAGTAATTAAAAAAAAGAGAAATTTATGGAGTCTACCTATTAAACTAAAACTAATTACCCGGTTATACCCACTTGGATAATAATTACTATACATACCTACTCCATATAAAATTATTACCCGTCCTCCATCCATTAAGAAAGTCTTTAAAGGCTTCAGGAGCAACGAATCTATACCTAACCTATACGTGACATTTCTTCCTTCAATTCAAAGTAAGAAATATTTTATTTCTATCTTCATCGAGTTCCTCTCTTTGTTCTTGCTTCTATTTTCATAAGTAAAATTGNAGCAAGGAGTAGCAGTTTTTTTTTTTTTTTTTTTAGTTATGTGATGATTTTGTGTATACAAAAAAATATATTTGCTCAATATCTATAAATTATGATTCAATTAACTCACTACACGCATGTAGTTTAGTTTTCTCTTGCTGAATGAAATCATCGCCTATTGAATACCTTTCATCGCCACAAAATGCTCTCTCCCTCCCTATAAATTTTATATTTTCTCGTCGGTAATTATTCTAGTTCGAGTCATTTCCCGAAAAAATTTAATTATGATTCCGTTGCTATTAAATATTACTTATAGTACCTTTTAGAAAGTCATACTGAAATTTGATCACAATTGGAGCTGATTTGAAGTGATCGAGATAGAAATTTTAGCTGAAAATCGAAAAGGAACATAGTTATCCAACAATATACTACTATGGTATACAATATGTTGTAGAAGTACATAGCTATACTACAATAGTATACTGTTATAGCATATAATATACTACAACAGTATATTGTAATAATCGAAGAAGAACACAGTTATCTAACAGTATACTGCTACAGTATACAATATACTATAGGAGTATATAGTTATACTGCAACAGTATACTATTATAGTATACTGTAATAATATGCAATATACTATAATAGTATACAATATACTATAATAGTATACTTATTACCCGTAAATTCACTTGCCTTTTCCCTTTTAATTTGCTTTAATCTTTTACCCTAAGTGAGGGGCAAATTTAAAATGCAAAAAAAATATATTATAGTATGTTATATAATGTAGAGGTATACTCTTGCAATTAGATTCTTTTAGAATTTTTTGAATTTTTTATTGACAACTGATATTATTTCAGTTGAATAATTGAATTAATTTTTTTTAACTCTTTGCGTACAATTGTATACCCTGTTGGTATATCTATTACTATACTGGTATCATATATTAGTTAATATTTTTTGGTTGTATTAGCTACATTTAATTGACACACATTTGATTTTTCTTTAGTAATAGTATAAAAAAAGAATAATAAATAATAGTAAAAACGGTAAATGAATTAGATTATGAAGAGAAAAAGAATACAAAAAAAAAAGAAGTTAAATGAAATTGAAAAAGGAAAAAAGAAAAAATTAAGAAGAAAATGAGAAAAAAGAAAAAGAGAAAAGAAAAAAAAGAAAAAAAAAAGAAGCATAGTAATTAAAAAGAAATGGAGAATAAAGAAAAAATTTCCCAAAAAAATTACTATGGGTAGGAAATGTAATTAGTTTATGGGTAGAAAAACAAATGGGTAAACAAAGGTAAATAGTTTTGTTTTTGTGGGTCAAACCCCCTAAAAAAATTAATTGTTTTCTAAATGGTCTACATTTTTATATTAAGGTGGACCTTTGACAATTTGAAGTAATAATAATAAAATTAAACAAGAAGATTGTTTCAAGATGCAGTAGATGGATCGCATGTGAAGGGATGAACCAAGTAGATAACTTCGTCTTTTGGTCGTTGTTTTTCTTCTCTGTCTTGGTCAAATTATGAGAACCTCCTTTGGATGGTATTTTGGTATCCTATGCAATATTCTTGGATCTTTGTGACTTTTAAAAATATTTATTGTTGTTTCTTCCATTTTCTACCTCCGTTTTCTCTCTCTTAATTAATAATACGTAGAAGTCACGTTGGTTTTGAATTTAACTCAGGCAGACCAAGATTTAATGTTTACGAGTTCAAATTCAACCACATCTTAAAATATATCATGGTGTAAATTTTAGTTAGAGTATATGGTTAAACCTAATATTAAGAATAGGTGAAAGTGAAAGTTAATAGTAGTGAAAATGTAAGCCAGAATGGGAACAGTACGGTACGTTGGTTAGTCAAATTTGGGCGTTTGTGATGTCCTCTTTCATTGTCGGGACCAACGATGGGTCAATATTATTACAACCAAAATGAATTTGAATGTCTGGTCGTTTGCTGGACTGTAACTTCCCTTTTTGAGTTTTTGACTACTTCTGGAACAGAGGCAGAATTATTTTTATTTTTTTGCAGCGTTGCTATTGCTCTAGTCAATTCATCAATCAAATTTTTCTACCTTAATTCAACACTTTGAACATCTGTCTATTAGTGGAAAGAATAATTCGAATTTATGATGCCATTGCTGCTCAATTGAGTTTTTCCTACTTCTTATTGATCATGTAACACGAAACATTGGCGGATCTACATGGAACTAAATGGGTGCTTAAGCACCCATTATCTTTGAGTATGATTAGTAGATTTACATAGCAATTATCAAATTTTTTTAAGATAAGTATCGGGTGAGCACCCATCAGTAAATTCATTTTTCCTCTTCTTTCAGAATTTTTATCGACGAGCACCCATGACTTTGAAATCTTGGATCCGCCACTGACACGAATACTTTAAATATTTATCTATCTGAACAAACTAGTCCATGTAACAGATTCATACAAGTGAGCACAACTAACTTAATTATGATTGCAGAATACACTACAAGAAAGTAAGCTTACGATGACATTTATTTAATGCATAATAAATATCGAAAAAATTGGTTTATTGACATTTTCTTAAGAAATGTCGTAAAATTAATGACATTTGATAAAAAAAATGTCAAAATTATTAGGACTTTTAATGCAAATGTTGCTATATTAGTAGGTATTTAGTGACGTTTACAAACAAATGGAGGAAATTTCTTACATTTGTAGTTTTTAAGTTTTATTAAACGAAAGTAAAAATATGAGACTCGCCTAACTTCTTCTTTCAGAAAAGAAATCTAGCATTAGTCTCTTAGAAACCCTAGAAATCTCTGCCCTTTCCTCATCCCAAAACACTGATGTTGCAGCGAGAGGCAGTCTCTTCATTAAGTTTTACAAAATTCTCGATCATTTAACTGTTATCGTGCTTAAGTCACTCCAGACAATATGGAATTTCTCTTTGAACTTGCTTCATAGCGCTCGATTAGCAGATAAGTGATTATCGCCGTGTCGTAGAGAATCAAAAGGGGACATAACCAGGCTGGAGGATATCGAAAGGAGACACGATTTTCAGATTTTGGGTAAGTGCTTACCCGTGGTTTCGTTCTATTTGTTCACGCGACTGAATTTCTAATTAAATGCGCTTAAAATGGTTGTGCCTTATTCTTTTATTATGATGGATTACGGATTTTGGTTCTTGTTATGTTCATTTATCTTTGGAGTAGGCAAATTCTCTAGATCTAGATATAAAAAGCATTCTACTGTTGGCGTTGTGGAGGAATTGTTTTGAGAGGGATCTGTTCTTGTCGAAAGGTACTGTTTATACAGATTAATTTTGGTGCAGTTCAACCAACAAATCAAACTTAAAATTGACGTCGCATTATCATTTTGATACATATGTGTTAGGAGTGTGTGGCATATAAGCCTTTTTAACTGTTTCATTTAATTGGCTACATCTGTTGATCGAAGTTCAGAAGAAATAGTTTGGTTTCCTTTCATTTGCCCATGTGTTTGTAGAACTTCCTGCAGAATTTCGTACTATTGGTTTCAGCTCATTTATGAAACTTATTTGCTGATTGTAATTATCTTTCAGTTGTTCTAATCATAGTGTGTAAACTTGTGAAGTTTGGTTGAGTAGCTGGTTCCAAATTGATCTTCCATCTAAAAGAAATTGGTGATGGTCTGCAAATGGCAAGAGACTTCTATTCTGGATGTATTGTCGTTGATTATAGGTAAGATGGCTTTGCTAGTTTATAGCATTTAACTTCGGCTTAAAATGATATTACGCTCAACTATATTTTGATAATTCAGTGAAGTTAGTCGGAAGAATTTGGGTTGTTAATTGCCTACTATAAGGAAATTGTCATCTTTACGAGGTGCTTTGCTATTCACTTGAGATAATTTATGCATTATCCTTGTTTTGACAATCTTTATTCGCCGTGATTTACCAATTGTATATTTTGGTACCTTTATATGTTTTAACATTTGAGATAATAATTCAAAAATTAAGTACTGAAACTGGTTAATTATGTGAAAAATATTGTTGCTGATAAGTAGTTAGTTTTAGTGTATGTTATGGAGTCACAGTGAGCAAGTCTATAGTCTGGCATCTTATAGTAAGGCCCTTGTAGATTTATGGACAAAGAAAATCATTCCCTCTTAAAGTGTTTTATTTTCTACTCATGACCATTCATGTACATTGAGTTGGAAGATAAGTTATGGGGTATGTCAATCGGTTGATAAAGAAGAAGATGCTCGCAAAAAAGCTGAACTGTTAATAATATTTTCACTGTATGAACATGCTTTTGTACTATATGAGGTTTAGTATTGACTTTCATCTACTTTCTAACTCATCTCTTTTGCATTTCATAAAAATACAGGTTGCTACATCAGTCACTTCTGCACTAAAGATGCTACCAAAGACAGATACACAATTGAATTGGAGAGGAAGCTATATATATAAGGAAGTACAGAAAAAGTGAAAGAGGAATTGAAGAAGTGAAGAGATCTCTTGTTGTTCCAAACAATTATATTTTGCTTGAATGACAAATAACTTTTTCATGACTTTATTTTATTGTAAAGACTATAAATTTCTTTCAATGTAATTAATTTTCGAGAACTTCCATATTCAATATATATGATTCTAGTTTATGTTTTCTATGATCTTGAAATTTGTATGTATATTTCTTGAATTTGGATGGCATGTAAACATTAAAAGAACAACTGTCGTAAACATTAAGCTAAAATCTCATAATGACCGACATTTGATAGGAGACGCAAAGAAATGTCACTATTTGTTTGTCGACATTAACCTATGCGTTGGAAATTTTAATGTGACATTTTCACAAATGTCGATAAATAAATGTCGCAAAACTTTTACCGACATTTATTTAATTGTCGAAAAATTTCTGACATTTATGCTAACTGTAAAATAAATATCGGTTAATAATTTTGTGACATTTATGTAGCTTAATACGATATTTATAAAATGTCATCGTATGTCTGCTTTCTTGTGGTGATAATTAATATTATTGTTGTTGTTGTTTTAACTTTTAAACATCCGGAAATCCATAAATGAAGAATGAAAGGGATTCCAATTTGATGAATTGACTTAAATAACCGCTTACCCAGGAGCTTAAACTTAAAATTACCAGCGGATGTATGATATATGTGCAATTCATGTATAATATGTGTATAATCATATAAATCATTATATAATATATGTACATTGTTAAAAAAAAAATAATGTATTCGACCGGCTGTTTAAGTAAAGATCAATGCACTTTTGCTTAAATTAAGTGCTTGCTTTCGAGGCTCCTCTCAAAGGGCTGAGCTGATCTAGAGAAATGAGATTTTTACATACCTATACACTATTGGAAACTTTATTATCCTCCCTACTCAAGTTTCAATTTAATTACATCCTATATACAAATTTACCAATTATATACACTTTAGGAGTTAAAAGAGTATCCCTTTATATTAGGAACCAATTATTTCCCATCCTTATTCTCTCTCCCTCCTGCGCCCTCTCTCTCCTACGCTCTCTCTCTCTCTCTCTCTCTCTCTCTCTACGTTTCTCTCTATCTCTCAATTCCTAATTCCAGTAATGTAGAGCAAAGGGAAAGAGAATAACAATGCCATGCTTATTGAAATTCCAGTAATGTAGAGCTGAAGGTGTTGCACAATTGGTGTTCAAATTCCAGTAATGTTGCACAATTGGTTTTCAAATTGAAATTGTCAATCAATAAATTTTGAAGGTGTTTGACTCTCCACCATTGACAGCCATTAAAAAGTTTTGAAGCTTTGAATTCGGATTTGAGTTTTTAAAAATCATTATTTGTTTGGATTGGGTGTTGTTGCAAACAATTGGGAATATTGCTTGGAGTATATATCTCAATTTTGAGGGTGTTTTGGTGAAGATTAGACTTGATTTTTGCTGAATTTCAGATTGAAACTCGAAGAAGAAGAAGAAGGCATGACATACATTATACTTACGAAATTGTAGTAAAGTTGTAGGTAAATTGTATTCTGTTGTTTACATATTTTTTTTATTTAAATATTATATGAAAGTTGAACAACATTGTATAAAATTTGTATACAAATTGTATTTAAGTGGTATGATATTGTAGTTGTATAATTGTAGATAAGTTGTATAATATATAATTAGTTGTATGAAATTTATTTTTACTATGTAATATACAAAAGACATATTGTATAAAATTTGTATACAAATTGTATTGAAGTGGTATGATATTGTAGTTGTATATAACTGGGTAGAAATAATGTATGAAAATTGTACCTAAGTTGTATAATATATAATTGGGAAAATGCATAAGTACCCCCCTGACCTATACCCGGATTCCCAACTACACACTTTTTCTTTGCGGGAATCCTATTAACCCCCTAAACTTATTTTAAATGTAATTATTTGCACCCTNTTACATCCTATATACAAATTTACCAATTATATACACTTTAGGAGTTAAAAGAGTATCCCTTTATATTAGGAACCAATTATTTCCCATCCTTATTCTCTCTCCCTTCTACTCTCTCTCTCTCTCTCTCTTTCTCTCTCTCTCTCTCTCTCTCTCTCTCTCTCTCTCTCTATACGTCTCTCTACGTCTCTCTACGTCTCTCTCTATCTCTCAATCCTTAATTCCAGTAATGTAGAGCAAAGGAAAAGAGAGCAGCAATTCCACAATTGACAGCCATTAAAAAGCTTTGACTTTGAATTCGACTTTGGGTTTTCAAAGCATATTATTTGTTTGAATTGGGTGTTGTTGCAAACAATTGGGAATTCTCTCTACGTCTCTCTCTATCTCTCAATCCCTAATTCCAGTAATGTAAAGTAAAGAAAAAGAGAACTTCAATTCCACCTTGACAGCCATTAAAAAGCTTTGAAGCTTTGAATTCGAATTTGGGTTTTCAAAATCCATTATTTGTTTGGATTGGGTGTTGTTGCAAACAATTGAAAATATTATTTGGAGTTTATATCTCAATTTTGAGGGTGTTTTGATGAAGATTAGACTTGATTTTGGCTGATTTCAGATTGAAACTCGAAGAAGAAGAAAAAGAAGACATGACATACATTATACTTACGAAATTGTTGTAAATTGTAGAAAAATTGTATTCTGCTGTAGTTATATATATTTTTTTATTTAAATATTGTATGAAAGTTGAACAATATTGTATAAAATTTGTATTTAAGTTGTGCGGTATTGTAGTTGTATATAACTGGGTAGAAATAATGTATGAAAGTTGTAGATACGTTGTATAATATAAAATTAGTTGTATGAAATTTATTTTTACTATGTATAAATCAGATACAAAAGATATATTGTATAAAAATTGTATTTGAGTTGTATGATATTGTAGTTGTATTTTAACTGTGTAGAAATAATGTATGAGAGTTGTAGATAAGTTGTAGATTAGTTGTAAATAAGTGTATACTGTAAGTATTGAGTGTGATCCAACAGAAAATAGCTGGAAAAATCTCCAGATCATAGAAAAGAGATAATTAAAAAAGAGATAAAGGCTAGTTTAAACAAATACTTTTAAAATTAAGGCTATCCCACGTCATTCTTAAGAGGTGTATTAAATATGCAGCTAAATCCCTTGGATTTAAAAGTAAGTATTTATTTGGGAAAATCATTTACAGTGTAATATTGCACCGTGGATGTTTGACATTCTTTTTAAAACAAATAAATGTTCTCCTGAAACGAAAAAAAGTCTGGGTAGGAAGTCCTTTATTGAATAATTGCAAGTTGCAAAAACTAATTTACCAAAACAAAATTAGAACTACATCCAATGCCGTGGAAGAAAACAGACAAAAGTCTATTAATAAAAGGACAACTTTCCATGTTGTGAGTTTTGTGCTCGATTTAAGAGGAAAGAGGAGAGGAGAAAAAAAGAAGGAAAAGGGTGTAACTAAATTCCTTGATTGAAAGCATAAATAATGTATTTGGGAGCCTTTTAAGGTGGATTGTATATATTTTGTAACTAAAATGTATTTAGGTCGGATAAATACCAAAACATGAATATTTTTCGTAATAAGATTTAAAATAATGTATAAGTATATAAAAATCCCTTTAAAAATAGACCTTATTTAAGGCCATACTGTTGAAAGGGTTTGTGAATGAAACACGAGGCCCATAATCCGTGTATGGGTCCTATGGGATTTGGTTTAAGAGACTCGAAACAAGCAAGTAGAAGTTGGAGTGGGCTCTTGTTCAAGCCTAATTTCCAAAAGTCTTTTGAATAAGACCAGAAAAGAGCTAGCCCTCAAAAAGTGTCACAAACCAAGAAATAATTAGATTTAGATTATTTGGTAAAATAGAAAATTAGCTGGTCGGCTGAAACTAATTATATTTGCTAATAATTTTTTTTGTAAAATATGTATATAATACACATATATACAAAAAATAGATATTTCGTCGGCTATTATTTTTGTGAGCGGCTAAAAATTATACATTTCTCCATATAGTTAAGGAGTATTTGATACACATGTAGTCAATGACTCAATTATGTTGTTAATTTAAATTTTCCAAGTTCTGCTGGATTAAAGGAAAAATAATGATTTGCTCGATTTTGTACATTCTTGATTGCTTTTCTCCTTTGCAATTGTTAAGCCCAATCCACTCCACAAAAAACAAGAGTAAAAATTACATGCGGGCGTCCTATTTGATCGCCCCCATTTAACCTGTATCCATTTCTTTTTTACCCATTCTTTAAACAACTGCATGCCTTTTCTTCTTCTTCTTCTTCTTCTTCTTCTTCTTCTTCTTCTTCTTCGGGTAACAATGATTTATGGTGTTTGTGAACATATTTTAAGGTAGTTTATGGTGTTTTATAGTGGTGAGCTGTTGTGGCGCTTTATTATTTATATTGCTTAGGGTTTCTTCTATTTCTTTTTCTTAATTGCAAAATGGATTCGTTAGATTTATTGTTGTTTTGACAAATTGATGATTGTGATTTTAACTTGATGATATTTGGAGGTTATGTTTCAAATTTGAGCTCATTTGGAGTAGATTTAGGTACTAAATTATATATTGGATTGTTAAAATTCGAAGAATAAATTTCTGTCTCTAGGCAATTTGCACTTCAGGCCTATTTGGCCTTAAGTGCATGAAAACATTGGATGCACTTCATACCTTTAGGCCTTAAGTGCATCTGAAGTGCAATTTTTCACTTCAGACTTATTGGCCTTAAGTAAAGGAAAACGTTTGTTGCACTTCAGATCTTTTGGCATTAAGTGCATCTGAACTGTAATTTTTCAATTCGGACTTATTAGCCGTAAGTGCATGAAAACTTTGGATGCACTTCAGATCTATTTGGCCTTAAGTGCATCCGAAGTGTAATTTTTCTCACTTCAGACTTATTGGCCTTAAGTGTAGGAAAACGTTAATTGCACTTCAAACCTTTTTGCCTTAAGTGCATTTAAAGTGTAATTTTTCACTTCAGACTTATTGGCTTTAAGAGCATCAAACCATTGGTTGCATTTTAGACCTATTTGGCCTTAAGTGTATCTGAAGTGTAATTTTTTTACTTCAGACTTATTGGCCTTAAGAGCATTAAACCATTGGTTGTATTTCAGACTTATTTGGCATTAATGCATCTAAAGTGCAATTTTTTCACTTCAGACTAATTTTTTTTAACTTCAGGCCCGATAAGTCTGAAGTTGATCGTAAAGTGGGTAGGTTTGCAATTTTCTTTTTGGAATAATTGGCATCCTATAACACATAACAGAAATTGGTAATTTTTTAGCCTTATATTAGGTTTGGCAAAGATAGCCCCAAACAATTGGCATTATATAGCCGAATCTTTAAAAAACTACTCTATTTTATATTCTCTCTCAAAAAAATCTACACGCTTATTTTGCTTCCCTACCCTTTCTCTCCTTGTATTTCTTCTTCTATCTCTTTTCTTTTGCTCTTATAGTTTAGCAAAAAATCTTGCAAATTATGCAAAAAAAAAAAAAAAAAAAATAGTGGGATGAAAAGGTAAGGTTGATCTCACATCAGATAAAATTAGAAGCAAAAACTAAGAGACAAAAAATATATTTCAACTTTGTTTTTCTTCTCTCTTCCTTTTCTTTGGTTGGATTGAATGAGTGGGTGTCATTGAAATTGGTTGAAAATACCTAAACGATGCTATATACAAAATTTGAGCAAGATTAGCAAAAACTAAGAGAGAAAAAATATATTTCAACTTTGTTTTTCTTCTCTTTATATTTTTTTTTGGTTGGATTGAATGAGAGGTTGTGATTGAAATTGGTTGAAAATACATAAACGAGGCTATATATAAAATTTGAGCAAGATTAAAAGTGATTTAGACCGGTTTCAGGTAAAAAATCAGACCTAAAAATCCAAGTACGACATGTGAATATCACGTTGTATATCGTGTACATCAGTGTATATCACACACAAGTTTTTAAGGATGTTTGTGTATATCACTTTGTTTATCATGTATACAACACAATATTTTATGGACGCTCGTGTATATCACATTGTATATCGTATATATAACACAAATTTTCATGGATAGACACAGATACACATAATATACTTGAGATATCACTGATGTACATAGAGATATACACAGGTTACAATAGAGGATACACATGTGGAGTCGTCTTGAACTTGAGTTTTCAATCTGAAATGTTATACAAAGAAGGAAAATAAAATTTGAATAATTTTTTTTTTGATATACACATTATTATGTTATACATTGTGATATACAAATAATATGATTATTAACTATTGATCAAAAAAGGAAAATAAATTTTTGATATAGCATGTTTAAGCAAGTTCTAAAATATAAAAATAATAAATATAATTATGGGAGTCAATAATATTTTGGTATACAAAAAAAAAAAATTAATTTTTGATTTACAGAAAGAAGAAAAATAAGCTTATGATATCTATTTTGGTATACACATGTCCGATGTGCTATACACTGTGATATACAAATAATACAATATTTTTATTGTGACATGCATTGATATAAAACCAGTAATAACTATATATATAATTTTATATTATTGATATACAAAGAATAATATTATTTATATACAAAGAATAAAAATAAAATTTTAATATACATGTTGGTATAGACAAAGAAGAAAAGAAAAGTTGTGATATACATATTATTCTTGTGATATATATTTATTGGCTATTTGGTGCCAATGTCTATAACTAGGGCTATGTTCTGCCAATAATATGAGTATGTTGTTATACCATGCCGAAACCCCTTTGTAAAACCCATGTAGGCAAGACTAATTGGTAAAGCCCATTCCCAGCCCAATGTAACAGATCATACAAATGGTGGGCGAAGTGCAGCAACAGTCATTTTTAAGCACACTCTTTAAAATATATCCACAATTTACAATAGCCAATTCATACAATCTTTAGGACTAAGTATCCTGAATTCAAAAATTTAGGACTTAGTGTCCTGAATTTTTGAGCTGCTAATTTGAAATTCAAGACTAAGCTTCCTGAATTTCTGAATTACTAATTTAAAATTTAAGACAGAAGATTCGAACTTCTGGACAAAATGTTTGAACTTTAGGACACGATGTTTTGAATTTTAAACTTTGAGATTTAAATTCTACGACGTCGTGTCCTGAAGTTTGAGCGAAATTGGTTAATCTTTAAATACATTGTAAACTGTGAATATATTTTAAATAGCTTGCTTAAAAGTGGGTACCTAATGCCATTTCCACTACAAATGATCTTGTCTTTCAAGCCTATGGCCTGATAATGAAGACAAGAAAAAGGAAGGAGAATTAACCCAAATACCTAGTCTCTTAAATTAAAAATAGCTGGTAAATGCATAATATATGTATAATTTATATAAAATACGTATATAACTATGTAAAATTAATATAAATTTTTTGTATACCGGCTAGAAAAAGTAAACAGTAAATCTAGCCGGCTATTTATGTAACAAAAAGGGAAAAAAGGAAAAAATAGAGGGCAAAAAGCATGCGCATATATATATATATATATATATATATATATATATATATATATATATATATATATATATATATNTTGATATAAAACCAGTAATAACTATATATATAATTTTATATTATTGATATACAAAGAATAATATTATTTATATACAAAGAATAAAAATAAAATTTTAATATACATGTTGATATAGACAAAGAAGAAAAAAGAAGTTGTGATGTACATATTATTATTGTGATATACATTTATTGGCGATTTGATGCCAATATCTATAACTAGGGTTATTTTCTATCAATTATATGGGTATGTTGTTATACCATGCCAAAACCCTTTTTTTTTGCAAAGTGAGTATAGATTCAATTGTGACCCCAAAATCGAGTATAGATGCAAAAGCCCCGAAAAAAAGAACGAAAGCGAGGATCATACAATGTGCTAATGATGCTCATGAAAACATGTTATCTTCTGCTAACAAAATTGCTTAATCCTAAAATATCAAAATTAATGACCACTTGTTTAATTATATATCTGGATGGTACATTACCCCCAAAAGCTACTAGTTAGCTGGATTGCAACAACAACTGATAGTTACAGGGACAAATATTGATTGAATTCTAGGCGTTCGAGTTGTCTAAAAAACATTTATGAGTATACTATATAGCATAAGAAAAGGCTCATATAATTAATTACTTACCGGCAGCTGAATCGATAACGAAAAATGTCAAAAAGAAAACATGACATTTCTTTATTGTAATTTTAAATAATTTAAAGTATTCTGGTCCCTGGCCACAACCAAATAGTGAGCTCCATTATTGATTCTTTTTGCACGGTCTCAAATTTTTAAAACACTCAGTATTGGTTGGTTAATCAAGTTGAACGCTTTCCTACTATTTAAATTTCATTTCAAGACCTTTCTCTTTTAAAAATTGCTTTTACTAATCCACAAAAAGTAATCAATTAAAACTATAAAATTTGCTCGTTTGTTCTCTATTTTCTTTCTCGCTTGATATTCTTGGTTTTGAGATATGATGAATAGTATCAAATTTCTAATATTGTTCTTCAGTGTTACAGCAGCACAACCATCAAAGGGACAAAACCAATTGATTTTTGCAGATCAAAGACTAGCTGTAGTATATCCCATTATCCAGAAATTTAAGAATATCATCATTCTTGATCCTTTAGGTGTCACAAAATCTTGGGTTGGTCCAAATATATGTAATTATACTGGTTTCTACTGCGAAAGTCCACCAGATAACAAATCAGCAATTGCTCTTGCTTCTATTGATTTCAATTAACTGCTCCAACACTTATTGGCTTTCTTGATCAACTTTCAGATATAGCCATTTTCCATGCTAATTCCAACAATTTTAGTGGGACTTTATCTCCAAAAATAGCCAATCTTCCTTATCTATATGAACTTGATATTAGTAACAATAAATTTTTTGGTCCATTTCCTAGTGCTATTTTGGGCATGCATAGCCTATCTTTATTAGACATAAGATTCAATTCTTTCACTGGATCAGTCCCACCTCAATTGTTCACTAAAGACCAGCTCGACGCGCTATTCATCAACAACAACAATTTCATGCAAAGATTCCCTGATAATATTGCCAGTAGCCATGTTATTTATCTTACGTTAGCCAACAACAGATTTTTCGGTCCTATCCCACGTAGTATTTCCAAAATCTTGTCAAGTTTGACAGAAATTTTGCTGTTTAATAACATGTTAAGTGGTTGGCTACCATATGAATTGGGATTCTTGAAACAAGCAGTAGTATTTGATGCTGGCAATAATAGACTAACCGGTCCACTTCCATTTTCGTTAGTGTGTTTAGAGAAAGTTGAAGTATTGAATTTTGCTGGAAATAAGTTGTATGGTATAGTGCCGGATGTGATTCCTTTATATTGGAATGGGTGAAGGGTCAAATGGTTTGGTAATTCCTCATGAGGGGATGAATCGAGAGAAATTTGAATCAGATTTGTGGCCTGGGAAATTTGGCTAATTTATCATTGTCTGATTACTATTTTACAGGAGCTGGGCCAATATGTTTGAGTTTGATAAGAAATGGAGTACTTGATGTGAAGAATAACTGTATCCTGGTCTTCCATTCCAAAGATCAATTGCTGAATGTGTAGAATTCTTTGCCTATCCAAGGACAGTACATGACAACATTTACTCATATTCCTTGTTGGCTATCCAACTTCAAATCTCCTCTACATCTTTCTGAATTGGCTCCTTCTCATTTCTAGTATACATCAGTCCTTTTTCTTTTGTGGTTTAAACTTGTATTTACATGGAACAAGTGTGCATGCACAACTGTTTGTACATTCATCTGCCTTAATGCAATGACAAACGTCTCCTGTTTCCGATGGATCGATTTTTTTCAGAAAGATACATATTACAGTTGTGTTGTATTTCTATCTACTTTAATGTGTTCCAATTTTTTGCCAATTCTGCATTGTTATAGAGTGGGAGGTTTGATCAGGGTGGGGAGCAGGGGGTGAAGGCAATTCAAAATTTACAAATTAGCTGAACAGAGATGTAATGGTATATGTCTAATAGCCTGTTTGCCCAAGCCCTTTTGAGGCAAATGCACTTTTGAGAAAAAGTACTTATCAAAATAAGCTGATTTTTGCAGCTTGGCTAAACGGGCTATAAGTCTAACGCCTTATTATAGCCCGTTTGGCCAAGCTGTAAAAATTAACTTATTTTGAGAAGTGCTTTTCTTAAAAGTACTTTTGGTGAGAAACAATTTGTGTTTGGCTAATTAGTTTGAAAAGCACTTCCGAGCAGCAATTAGTGTTTGACCAAGTGATCACGCCCAACTATGCCTTATAAAAAGGACAATGCGGTCGCTGCAAATATAATCCAGTTTACAAGTCCGGAGTCGAATCCCACAGAGAACTAAGGTTTAGCTACAGCTGTTCACTATCACCAAGAAGACAAGCTCGAACAATTCCTAACTTATAGATATTAAGATTCTTGTGTTTAACTACTTACTAACAAATTAAAATAATAAATTAACAACTAACGATACTGAGGGTTAGAGAAAAGATTAAGGAGGTCTAGAGTTATGATTTCCCCAATTGTCGGAATCCTTCCCGCTATGTCTTCTATAATTTCGCCTAAGTATTCTCTACCGATCATGAGCACTCTTATTACCGTAAATCTCTCCCGAGTAATTACGACAATTTACTAGACGCACTCTCCCGAGCTACGCTAGCTGGCTTTTAATACAGCTCACTTCAGATCGCACCCAAGGCTTCATTATCCCTAATCCCGCCTTTAAACCCTCGGTTATTGATCCCTCATATACTCTGGGAGTGGTGTTATTTAACAATTACCTAAATATGCACTCTCTCCCGAGTTATGCATACCAAATAGGCACAGCTAATTGAGAGCTCTTCAACCAACCACAATATAAATGTAGTTGAACAAATAGAGAAAAGCTATGGCTCAATTATATAAAAACATAACAAGAATTTATCCTACAAAAGGTTCTATCAAAACTCTAGATAACAAATTAGCTATTCATAATAGTATGTAAAACTACAATACTAAAAGTCGTAACCAACAATGAAAAATAGGAAGAGGAAGGAAAAAACTCGTAGAAGAATTCTCCCCCTTGCTCCCAATGTGTTCTTCCCTCCAAGGGTGTTGTCTAACCCTAAAGTAGTGTCTCTCCGCCTCCTTAGGTCTAATTTGTGTCCAAAATATGTCCCCTCCTTGTTCTTGGCCGGGCTCCTTTGTTTAATATAGGGTTTAGGACTTAAAATACCATATTTTGCACTTTAGTCCCTGAAATTTTCGCTTCCTGCCGCGGTGGAACCGCGGCCAAACATGCCCTCTGATTCTTCAGTTGTCCGCGATCATCTTCTACCGCGGTTCTGCCGCGGTCGCGGCAAAATCGCGATTTTTCACCCTGTTCCGTTTAGAATTTGGAAAAACGTAAAACATAAAAATTGTAGCTCTTTGAGTTAGCTTTCCAACCATATATTGTGGAGCCCAAATGGAGTTCTGAGCAAAAAGTTATGTCTATTTTACTAGACAGTGCGCAATATGCCTCCTCAAGTCTTCGTTCGTACTTAATTATCAAATTTGACCCCCGAACACGATCCCGGCTTAATTCCTTGAGCTTTTACTCAGACTTCAAAGCTTCAAATCACTTAAATTCATTCCATAACATCTATATAGCTCGGAATCACACCTACAAGGCATAAAACATACAATTAGTGCAAAACACTAGCGATTAAAGCGCAAACTCAATTAAAGTGCAGTAAATTCGAGTGTAATAAGCGACTTAAATATGCAATTATAGCCTATCATCACCAAGCTTTAAAAACTGCTTCTAAGTGTATTTTTCTCAACAGTGCTTCTCAAAAAAGTGCTTTTGGAGAGAAGCTATTTTTTTCTGCTTCTCCAAAACTGCTTCTGCTTCTCCTCAAAAGCACTTTTTTCCTTCCAAAAGCTTGGCCAAACACCTCAATTTTTGGCCAAAAGTGCTTTTGGCAAAAAAAAAAAGCGCTTTTGGCCAAAAAGAAGCTTGGCCAAACAGGCTATTAGTCTTTTTAGAGTCTGTCTTAACAGGTTTCCTTTACTTTTACGGAAAGTCAAATTGTCACGATCCAGTTTCTCCCTCCGTTAACTGTCGTGACGTCACCTAGTCTCTACGACTAGGTAAGCCTAATATTGCGGAAATAAAATAAAAACACAAAGATAATTGCTAAGACATATAATTAATAAGCAGAAATGGTGCCACTCGGCATATACAATAATCATCTTTCCCAAAATCTGGAATGTCGCAACGTCACAAGCTTCTAAGAGTTTCTAACTGCTCTATACATTCATGACTGAAGAAAAAAAAGGGAAAATTAACAAAAGGGGATAGAAGGGGACTCTGGGGTCTGCGGACGCGGGCAGATGTACCTTGAAGTCTCCTGAAGTAGCAACCACGCAACTAGACTCGAGGCTGATAGCTAGCACCTGGATCTGCACACGGAAAAAAATATGTGTAGGAAAGGGCATAAGTACACCACAACGGTACCCAGTAAGTGCCAAGCCTAACCTCGGTCGAGTAGTGACGAGATCAGGTCAGGGCCCTACTGGTATAAGTATAATGAGATAAGATAGAAAGAAATATACAGTAAAGTAATACGGAAATCTAACAGGAATAGAATTCAATGAAAACCAACAGCTCAGAACACAGTAATAGCAACAGGGGATCTCTCGGAATACCGTCCCGTAGTCCCAAACGTAAATGTGCAAGGGGATCTTCTGGAATACCGTTCTATAGTCCCAAAATAAATATGCATTGCTTGGGGATCTCCTGAAATACCGTTCCGTAGTCCCAAAGTAAATATGCAGTATATGGGGATCTCCCGGAATACCGTTCCATAGTCCCAAGGTAAATATGCAACTCAACCAATATAAATAACAGTCACAATAAGAAAATCTACAGTTTGGATTAAGTTCAAATCAAGAAAACCATGTAATTTCACTGAACATGCTGCACAGAGTTCAAATAGGCAGTTAAAACACGTAGGCATACTTTTCTAATCTAAACAGGATAGTACATATGCTAATGTAATTCAAACAAGGAGAAAACATGTTATGACTTAGTGAAAAATAGAGTTTTACAACAAATAGCCCGTGTACATACTCGTCACCTCATGTACACGGCGCTCATATATCAAACAGTACCAAATCCTAAGGGGAGTTTTCCCACACAAGTTTAGGCAAGCCACTTACCTCGAACCAAGCTCAAACCAATCCGTAATACGAATATCCGGCTCCAGATGGCCCAAATCTAGCAAAAACCAATTACATAACATAAATATAGCTACAAGAAACTAATCTAGCTAACGAAATCAAAGCTAAGGCAAGAAATTAGAAAAACTTCCAAAAAGCCTCCCCGGGCCCACGTCTCGGAATCGGGTAAAATTCACAAATTATGAACACTCATCCACTCACGAGTTCACTCGTGCAAAAATCATCCAAAACCAACGCCTAAATCCCACTCAAAACTCAGATTCTTGGTTGGGGAACTTTTCCCCCACTTTCCAACTTCCTCACTCAAATCCCCTAATTAGATGCAGAATACAACAATAGATTTATGGAATATGATCAAAATCGAGTTAGGAATAGTTACCCAATAGCTCTCCTTGAAAATCTCTCGAAAATTCACCTTCCGCCGAGCTCCAAATTGAATTTCGTGATATGAACTTCAAACCCTCGAAAATCCCCTTTTCTACCTAGCGATTTTCGCTTCTGCGTTCATAGGACCGCATCTACGGTCCCGCTTCTGCGACAGGGACTCTGTATCTGCGAGTTTTCATTAAAATCTAAAGTCCGCACCTGCGCGCCTTCGTCTGCATCGGCGGATGCGCTTCTGCGGCTAATCGTCCGCTTCTACGGAGCCTTAGGTCAGTCTCACCTCCGCATCTGCGACTACCCTTCCGTAGATGCGGCTTCGCTCCTGCGGCTCCCTCGTCGCATCTGCGACCCGTAGCCTTTATATCCAAACCCGCACCTGTGACTCCTTCCTCGCTTTTGCAGGGCCGTACCTTCGGGCTTTCCACCGCAGGTGCGAAAACACCAGAACCAACCAACTTCAGAATATGCACAAGTCCAGATTTTAACCCGTTGAGCATCCGAAACACACCCGAGGCCCTCGGGACCTCAACCAAACATACCAACCAATCCTAAAATACCATACGAATTTAGTCGAGCCCTCGAACACATCAAGCAACGTTAAAAACATAAATCGCACTCCAATCCAAACTTAATGAACTTGAAACTTCCAAATTTGACAACCAATGCCGAAACCAACATAACCATGTCCGATTGACCTCAAATTTTGCACACAAGTCATAATTCACACTACGGACCTACTCCAACTTCCGGATTCAGATTCTGACCCCGATATCAAAAATTCTACTACTGGCCCAAAACTCCAAAAATTAGACTTTCGCCATTTCACGCCTAAATGAGCTACGGACCTCAACAACACAATTTGGACACACCCCTAAGCCCAAAAATCACCCAACGGAGCTAACGGAATCGACGGAACTCCATTCCGGAGTTTTCTTCACACAGTTTCGACTTCGAACCAAATTCCAAGTCTTAAGCCTCCATTTTAGGGACCAAGTGTCCCAAACACTTCCAAATAACCAAGATGAACCCTCCCGACAAGTCAGAATAGCAGAAACAGATACGGTGGAAGCAAGTAATTGGGGATCGGGGCTCTAACTCTCAAAACGACCAGCCGGGTCGTTACACAAATGCTAAAAATATTACTAAGATTTACTAAAGATTATTTACATTATCAATAAATTGTTACATGTGATAGCAAGTTATTTATTATTTTTACTAAGTTGCCTACTAATGTTTATGATAGATATTGTAAAAATATCTTTTATACAGTACATGGAACTCAAACTTATAAATTAATTTACAGTGCAACAACATGTCGTCTATATATGACACATCCAGAACTTAAGATGTTTATGTAATCTTAATTTACCGGCCGCTACAGTCAGTGGCGAAGGCAGAATTTCCGATAAGGGGATTCAAAAATTTCCGATAAGAGGGTTCAAAAGATAAAGATTTGAAAATAGAAGAAATTATGGGTATAGGGAGTTGAACTAGTGACCTTACAAAGTTTTTGAACCCCCTTGACCATTAAGCTATGCTTTTTAGTTGTGTCAAGGGGATTCAAATACAATATATAGAGGTACATAACAGATTTTGCCTTATATGTACAGTGTAATTTTCCGGCGAAGGGGGTTCGGGTGAACCCTTTTCCGCCCCCCTAAATCCGCCCCTGGCTGCAGTACAATGAATAACAGCCAATAATGGACAACATCATAATTCTCTTTTAAATAATTACTTAATAAAGTTACACACAGAGGCAGAGCCAGAAATTTAAGCTTATGGATTCGAGATGTAAGATTTTCCTACGTATATTGGTGGCCCAATAGGTTTAAGGCCCGTAATTAATATTTAATTACTAAGCAAATCTCATCCGTCCGATCGGTTACTTGGTAGATGTACCGTATTAAGTGAGAACCTCTATAAATTGGTCCTCTCCCCACCCATTAGGATTTTCGTATTTTATTTCTCTCTCCTCCATCACTAAAGTCGGCAGTAACTAAAGCTAGGGCAAGGGGCGAAAAACCAATTCCAATTAACGCTTCAGCTTCGTCATAATGACTTACGATTCATGTATGTTTTCTGTAACAATTTTATGTAAGATTATCATATTCAAGATCTTGGTGTAAATTAAAGTGTATGTTTAGATGTGGTATCACGAGCCTGAGATTTGAATTGATAATCTTCGCAAAAGAATATAAAGTTATACGTACACCCTTACGGATTACGGTATTGTTATAAAAATATAATTATAGACGACGTCTCTGTGATGTTAGATTATTCCTCTGTTAATGTTTCAGACTTCATATTATTTATGCAATTGATGGACATAACCCAATAATAGTATGTGTTAAGAATCAAAATTGTCTTTGGGTTTGTACGAAAATTGACTGTATTGATCTATTATTCTAGATCCTTATTTCCCTTAAATCACTTTTGGCATAATGAAGAATCCTCGAAGGCGCCGATCATGAATGTATGAAATCAATGCCTATAAAGTTCTGGCATGTTCTAAGTAATTAAGTTTTCTTCAACCTAATTATTATTTTATCATTAAAATATATATAAGTGATGTTTGGCTATAATTCCGTATTTTTAGTACATTAATTATCATACATTTAAGTGCTTTAATACTAAACTATACTATATTTGTACTTAATTGAGTTTATTTTATATGTGGGCAAGTTAAAGACGAAATTGAGAGCAAAGTAGAAATTTTATGCGTATTTTATGCACTACAAGAATGACTTGTGATTATTTAATGATGGAAAATATTATGATGTCATGATTGGGTGATGATTGAAGACAAAATTATTTAAATGATCCAAGTGAGTAAATTGAGGTGAGAACAATTGGAAAGCAAAGGAAAAGAATTGGAAAGTTAGGCAGAAGAAATCAAAAATCGTAAACGAAGCAGCAGCAGGCGAGACGAGCAAATTTCCGCGCATTTGAGCACGCGACGCCAGGGATAAAGCGAGATGGTGCTCGCATTTGAGCTCGCTGGGCGAGGTCTGCAGCGAGGTGCTTCGTGTGTTCCGAGTTTCAAGCTTATTTTGTCTTTCTTTTTTATTTTGGACTTGGTTATTTTGAAGAGGTCTTTTTCCTACACATATAAATAGTTATTAAATACCATCTTTAGAGTACTGGAGACTAAGGAGAGCATAGAGCCGCCGTGGAGGCCGGATTTCATCTATTCCATCTTTCTTCCATCAAACTTAGTAGTCTTTACTTTTTCTTGATGAATTGTTTGTTTTGATACCATGTCTATGTGGAGCTAAACTTCACGTTCTCGGGTTGTGATTGTCATGAATATTGAAGTTTATTAATTATATTACCGTTAATTCGAGTTATCATCTTTGGTTGTTTTTCTAATTCTGTGCATAATTGCTTAATTGTTTGGCGAACATTTGAGTTCTATTTACTATCTGTGCTATGCTTGGGAAAGCCATGTTTATATTAGAGTAGAATTAAAGAGAGCTTTTTTCCCGTGGCACGGGGAACGATTTCACGGTTAGGATAGGAATATACCTAACAGTCTTGCTTAGTTGAATATCGTATTATATTCGTTCGTGATAGATTCAAGACCATAGGAATATAGGGTTGATATATTATGGATAGACGGATAGGATTGTGGGAATATGCTATTTATGTAAATGATCCGGTCAACTAGCAATCGTAGATAACTTGGATTACGGGTGTAATTACGAACTCAATAGGACTGATAAACTGACCACAACTCTGGAATCTATATCTCCCTTGATTATGTGTTTAAATTTCGCAATAGTAGTTGTAATTGAAAGTTAAACTTTTGATCATCTTGGACAGTAAATTTATTTTAGTTTGCTTAGTTAACGGTTAATCTAAGTTTCTGTGGGTTCGACATCCGATTTTCGAGTCACTTTATTATTTGACGGCCACGTATACTTGCATGTGTGTTTGGTCCCAACAATAAACATATAGCATGTCTATGTAAACCTATTACAGGACGTTTCAAACTATTATGTTTTGGACTAGAATATTTGGTTTTGATATTTAAACCTTCTGGACCATTAAAGTGATACTGTTTTATTCTTAAATTTCTGGAATACACACGTAAATTTCACATGCCACATTGATTGGGATTCGGTTCTTACATTGTGAAATAATTAATGTATGTGTTTATAGTTATATAGTTTGTTAGTCTACAAAGTGATCAAACACTAAAATATTTATTTTATGTGTGCATTTATGTTCATATAGTTTGTTAGTTGTCAAAATGGCCAAACTAGTATGTTTAAGAAATTATACATGCATAAAACTATAGTTTATCCATCAAAAACTAATGAAATGCCTATTATTGAAGATAAATGGATAAACTGGCTTTCACTATCGCTAGAACTTAAGGATTTAACCAAAGGTGGATCAATTATTCTATGAATAGTGAATATGATGAGGTAAATTAATATTCTTTAGTCAAATATATATTGTCTGTCCAAAGATGTCATATATGTTTGATTAAAAGTATTTAATTACCTATTAAAGGCTAAATGACATTTAAATTATGATAGTGTGTCGTAGTATTTACCCAAAGGAGAATTGCAATATGCTTTAATTGTTTTACTGAATCCATATTAATTTGCGAGCATGTATTATCTATTTTGCAGTTATTCCTCTTCATTCGCATGCTTCGTCTGTTACTGTGTTCAATGGATTGAACTTCTCTGAATGGCATGAATAAGTCCAGTTCCACTTAGCTGTAATGGATCTTGACTTGGCTCTGCTGAATGATAAGTCTGCTGCCATTACTGATACGAGCAGTGCAGATGATAAGTCTTTCCACAAAGCATGGGAACACTCTAACAAGCTGAGCCTTATGTTTATGCGAATGAGTATTGCTAACAACATTAAGAGTACTATACTACAAACAGAAAGTGCCAGGGAATACCTGAAGTTTGTGGAAGAACGTTTTCGTTCTACAGATAAGTCTCTCGCTGGTACACTAATGGCTGAACTCACGACCATGAAGTTTGATGGGTCGCGTAGTATGCAAAATCATATCATCGAGATGACTAACATTGCAGCAAGACTTCAAACCTTGGAGATGAAAGTTGATGACTCCTTCTTGGTTCAGTTTATTCTGAATTCGTTGCCTCCTGAGTATGGACCTTTTCGAATTAACTATAACACTATTAAGGATAAGTGGAATGTTAATGAATTGTCGAGTATACTTACTCAGAAGGAGTCAAGACTTAAAAAATAAGGGAGTCATTCAATTAACCTCATGGGTCAAGGAGCTGGGAAAGGACTTAAAGTGAAGGCCAACAAGTTCGAGAAGAAGAAAGCACCTGCTAAAGCTCCACAGGATGCTAGCAAGGAACATAAGGCAGATACGTGTCATTTCTGTAACAAGGAAGGACATTATCAGAAAGATTGCCTGAAACGTAAAGCTTGGTTCGAAAATAAAGGTACAGTTAGTGCTTTTGTATGTTTCGAATCAAATTTAGTAGAAGTTCCTAATAATACTTGGTGCCTTGATTCTGGTGCAACTGCTTATGTATCTACTACGTTGCAGGGATTCCTTACGATCCAAACTACGAATCCAAATAAGTATTTCTTGTTCATGGAAATCGTATGAATGCTCCAATTGAAGGCATAGGGACTTATCGTTTGATCATGGAGACTGGACGTCACCTTGATCTATTACAGACTCTTTATCTACTTTCTGTTTCTAGGAATTTGATTTCTCTTTCAAGACTTGATGTTTCTGGATTTGATTTCAGTTTGGAAATGGACGTTTTAATTTATATAAGAATGCTTTTTTTTATGGTTCTGGTATTGTTAGTGATGGTTTATATAAAATAAAACTCGATATTGATTTTTCCGAATCCCTTCTTACTGTTCAACATAATGTTAGAAAGATTAGTAAATAATGAGATTCTTCCGAATCTAAATTTTATTGATCTTAATATATGTTTGGATTGCATTAAGGGAAAACAAACCAAGCATAGTAAGAAAGGTTCCACAAGAAGCACCCAACTTCTTGAAATTATACACACCGATATTTGTGGACCCTTTGATGTTCCATCTTTTGGTGGAGAAAAATATTTTATCATTTTTATCGATGACTTTTCACGTTATGGATACTTCTATTTGCTGAAAGAAAAATCTCAAGCAACAGATGCTCTCAAAGTGTTTGTTAATGAGGTGAAGGCAATTAGATAAAGAGGTGAAAATTATTAGGTCAGATAGAGGTGGTGAATATTATTGAAAATATAATGAATCGGGACAATGTCTAGGTCCATTTTCAAAGTTCCTCGAGGAACATGGCATATGTGCACAGTATACTATGGCAGGAACACCTCAACAAAATAGTGTTGAAGAAAGGCGTAATCGAACACTTATGGATATGGTTAGAAGAATGATGAGTAATTCCTCATTACCCAAATAATTGTAGATGTATTCTGTTAAAATAGATGTATATTTATTAAACAGGGTTGCTAGTAAGGCAGTTCCAAAGACTCCTTTTGAACTGTGGACAAGAAGGAAACGTATTTTAAGGCACCTGCATATTTGGGGTTGCCCAGCGGAAGCTAGAGTTTATAATCCACAAGAAAATAAATTAGATTCTCGAACAGTAAGTGGATACTTTATTGGTTACCGAGAGAAATCTAAAGGGTATGTGTTTTATTTTCCAAACCATAGTTCGAGAATTATCGAAACCGGTAATGCAAGATTCATTGAGAATGGTGAAGTTAGTGGGAGTGTTGAAAAATAAAGCGTGGAAATAAAAGAGGTGAGGGTTAATGTTACATTACCCACGAATGTGCCTACTTCCACACAAATACCAAATATTATTCCAGTTGTTGAAGAACACCTTGACAACACCCAGCAACATTTGGATGAAACACTTCATGAAGAAACTAGCTCACAAATATCTGACACAAGTGAACCACAAGTAATGTCATTAAGAAAATCTCTAAGAGTTAGAAAATTGGCTATTTCAAATGATTACGTGGCTTATTTGCAAGAGTCAGATTTTGACATTGGTCTTAATAAAGATCCGATTTCATTTTCACAAGCCATAGAAAATAATGAGTCTGACTAATGGATTGATGCCATGAAGGAAGAGTTAAAACCCATGGAATACAATAATGTCTGGGATCTCGTTAAATTGCCAAGAAGTTATAAGAGAATCGGGTGTAGATGGGTCTTTAAGACCAAACACGATTCAAATGGCAACATCGAACGATACAAAGCCATACTTGTTGCCAAGAGTTATACTTACAAAAGAGGCATTGATTATAAAGAGACCTTTTCACCGGTCTGAAAGAAAGATTCGTCATGAACTATTATGGTTTTGATGGTTCATTTGATTTAGAGTTACACCAAATGGATGTGAAAATTGCATTTCTTAATGGAGGCCTCAAGGAGGAAGTTTATATGGACCAACCAGAGGGTTTTGAAACTAAAGGATAAGGCCAAATGTTGTCTAAACTAAAGAAGTCAATATATGGACTCAAACAAGCCTCACGACAATGGTATATAAAGCTTAATGATACCAAAACATCTTTTGGATTTGTAAAAAATATGTTTGATCGGTGTATATACCAAAAGATCGGTGGGAGAAAGTTTATATTTTTAGTCTTATATGTTGACGATATTCTACTTGCTGCTAATGATTTAGGCATATTGCGTGAAACTAAAGATTTTCTATCTAAGAATTTTGAAATAAAAGTTATGGGTGAAGCATCCTATGTGATAAGAATAGAAATATTTCGTGATAGATCACAAGGATTATTGGGATTGTCTCAGAAAGACTATATCGAAAGAATTTTAGAGAGATTTAACATGAATAATTGTTTAGCGAAAATTGTTCCAATTAAAAAAGGGGACAAATTTTGTCTTATACAATGCCCTAAGAATAATCTAGAACAAAAGGAAATGGAATCAATTCCTTACTCTTCTATTGTTGGTAGTCTGATGTATGCTCAGACTTGCACAAGATCGAATATTAATTTTGCGGTCGGAATGCTAGAAAGATATCAGAGTAACCCAGGAATTGATCACTGGAAATCTGCAAAGAAAGTCTTGAGGTACCTGAAAGGAACAAAGGATTACATGCTCATGTATAGGAGATCCAAGCATTTGGAAGTTGTTGGATACTCGAATTCAGATTTTGCTGGATGTATTGACACTAGAAAGTCCACGTTTGGTTATTTGTTCCAATTAGCTGAAGGAGCAATATCATGGAAGAGTGCCAAACAATCTGTCATTTCTACATATATGATGGAAGCAGAATTTGTGGCATGTTTTGAAGCCACAGTTCATGCATTATGGCAGCAAAACTTTATTTCTGGACTTGGGGTTGTCGACACCATTACCAAGTCGCTGAAGATTTACTGTAATAATTCTGCAGTGGTATTCTTCTCCAAGAACAATACGTACTCCAAAATTGTCAAACATATGGAATGAAAGTACTTTACCGTCAAGGAGAAAGTTCAGAAACAAAGAGTATCACTTGAGCATATTAGAACTGATCTCATGATTGCCGATCCGTTAAGGAAAGGTTTACAACCAAAGATATTTAATGAACATGTACATAGAATGGATCTTGGTTGTATTTATGATTGATAGATTTATCATGTTTTGATACTTTGAGTTCATTTATGTGTTTCTGATATACATTAATGATTTTCTGTTTCTCATAATGGTGTACACATTATTATTTTGAGATATTACAGGATAAGTCTCAGTGAGACATTATTGTAGACCATATTATTTATAGCTTATGGACCTGGTAGGGTGAGTTGCTAATGTTCTAGTATATGAAATGGAGTATGTAGACAAATTATAAATTACCGCCATAACTCACATTTAATAGGTTATCGTATTATGATATTTATGAAGGACATTATAGAAGAGATTTTTTTATGCACAACTAATATTCTTATATTATTAAATATTAATATTATGTAATTATTGGGCCAAGTGGGAGAATGTAAGATTTTTCTACGTTTATTTGTGACCTAATAGGTTTAGGGCTCGTAATAAATATTTAATTACTGAGCAAATCTCATCCGTCCGATCGGTTACTTGATGGACGTATCGGATTAAGTGAGAACCTCTATAAATCGGTCATCTCCCCAACCCATTCGGATTATCGTATTTTATTTCTCTATTCCATCACTAAAGTCGGCGGTAACGAAAGCTAGGGCAAGGGCCGAGAAACCAATTCCGATTAACGCTTCCGCTTCGTGATAATGGCTTACGGTTCGGGTATGTTTTCTGTAATAATTTTCTGTAAGATTATCGTGTCCAAGATCTTGGTGTAAATTAAAGTGTATGTTTACACAAGATTCTAAATGTTTTAGGTTACTGGATTCTAAATTAATAATTTATGCATATTTAATGGATTTTTAAAGATAAATACAAGATTTGAATCAAAGATATTGGGTTCAGCCGAACCCGCTCCTAGCACCTAGCTCCGCTCCCGGACTTACACCAACCATAATTAATAATTTACCAGCATTTTTATCATGTTGAAGTATCTCAAGCAAAATCATCCTGAAACAAGATTTTTTTGCAAGTTTAACGACAAAAGAGTACTCGAATAAGAGAGACATATTTTGGCTCAGTTCATGATTTGCCATCACTTCTAATTGGCAGGTTTGGAGTTCTAGTAACATGTTAATAAGTGATGATGAACTATTATTGATAATGTTGTGGGGTAAAATAATAGGGGAAGAAGGAAAAAAAAAGGCACACTCAAATTAAAGGTCCTGTGACAAATCATGTGGACAACTAAAGTAAATTAAAGCATGACCAAAGGATATTCAGCTCAAGGTGCTTACATTTAATTAGTAGTACCACCTAATTCTAGGACAAGCTTTTGATCATATTTCTACTTGGGAGTTCAGGAAACTAAGTACACAAAAGTAATAATCTAAATTAATGCACCGACGACTTGCCCATGGCTCAGTGCAAGAGTATGCTGGTGGAGTTCCAGCACGAACATTCCGTCAGAAACAATACTTATCATTATAAAATAATTAAACAGCTTTGTCATACATTCACTGTTTCTAGGTTTTCAATGATGGCTAGTGGATAGCAGATGATAAACCAGTGGGAGAATATACTTAGATTTTCCTAAATACATACAAATTAGGGGCTTGAGACTTTTAGAGTTTATTCACAAAATTCCACATTACGTTCTCCCTCAATAAACATCAATGTTATCTCATTTCTGGTCTGTTCCAAATC